TCCAATGTTACACCTAACTTTTGATCTATACGCCATCTCTCGACCAACTGGCAATATAAGAACCAGGACTGGAGAATATTATCTTGTCTCAGTTCATCTAATGATTTAATTTGCCAGTCCTGTCCCCTTAAGATAAGTAAATCCTTATAAACAATTCCCTCTAGTATGACTCCCCTTGTCACTCCTTGTATTGCATGTTCCGGAATAGCCCATATTGGGATTTTAAAACATAACTTATAATAATACTTTTTCCAAACTCTCAAGAGTGCAGTTCTTAAAATGTGAGACCTAAAAACATGATCAACTTTCTTATCAAAAAATAAATAAGCATGCCATCCATAAAATAAATCCCAACCTTCAAGAATAAATAAATCTCTATTAGTTAAATTAATCCAATCACTAATCCAAGTTAAAGCCACCGCATCATAATATAATTTTAAATTTGGAGCTTTAAGTCCCCCTCTTTCACGTGCATCTTGTAAAATTTTAAATTTAACCCTCGGTTTTTTTCCCTGCCAAATAAACCTATTAACACCTCTTTGCCACTCTTCCAAATTCAAATCCTTTTTTAAAATAGGTATCATCTGAAACAAAAAAAGAAACTTAGGAAGAACATTCATTTTAACCACTGAAATTCTCCCCAGTAATGATAACTGTAACTTTTTCCACTCATTTAAATCCTTTTGGATTTTTATCCATAGCTTATCATAATTATTTTTATACAATTTAACATTAGAGGCAGTAATATAAACACCCAAGTATTTCACCTTTTTCACTATTTCAAAACCAGTTAAATTACTTAAAGTCTCTTTATCTTTCAACAACATATTCTTAGATAATATTTTAGTCTTATTATTGTTTACTTTAAATCCCGAAACTTTCCCATACTGTGTCAAAATCTGTATCAAATTTCCTGCTGAGTCAATCGGTTGCGATAAGGTAAAAACCAAATCATCAGCAAAAGCTCTAAGCTTATAGTCATTCTTGCCCAGAGTTATTCCTTTTATAGTTGAAGATTCACAAACTTGAATTAGTAAAATCTCCGGAGTCAATATAAACAATAAAGGTGATAATGGACATCCTTGCCTCGTACCTTTCTCAATTTTAATTAAGTCTGTCAGTCCTCCATTTACTACCACTTGCACAGATTGTTGTTGGTAGATAGCCTTTAACGCTGATAAAAATCTATCCCCAAAATTCATTCTATCCACCATTCGTAATAAAAATTGCCAATCCAACTTATCAAAGGCCTTTTCAGCATCCAGGAAGATAAGGGCCGCCAGAATTTGATTATTTTTATCCAAATATTCCAACAAATTTACGATTTGTCTGACATTATTCTTCATATATCTGCCATTTATAAATCCAGATTGATCTTCATGAATAATCCGTTTCAATACTTGCATTAGTCTATTAGCTAAGATTTTTGCAAAAATCTTATAATCCATATTCAATAAAGATATTGGCCTATAATTTTTAGGCTGGGTCAAATCTTGATCCTCCTTTGGTATAAGTGAAATAAATGCACGCCTCCATGATGGTGGTACTTCTTCTCCTAACAAAATACTATTAAAAAGACATCTCAAGGGTTCTAACATTTCTTCAGACAACATTTTATAATAAATTGCCATTAACCCATCTGTACCAGGGGCCTTACCAACCTTCAATTGTTTAATTGCCTCTAAATAAATAAATAAATTTGATAGATAAGATATTAAGATGGCAACACTGAGAATGGGGAAAAAAACAATGTCAAGTTTAGTACTGACACCTTCATCTCCCCCTGGACAGAGAACAATAAAGGGAATGTTGGGGACAGAGAAGCAAAATTTATTATCAAATATGCAAAGCATGCAGATAACATTATTAACTATTCAAGAAACAATGTTAAAGATGCAGGAGACAATGTCAAAAAATCATATTGAAATGAGAGGGGATATGATTAAATTAGATAATAAGATTGAAATAATACAACAAACACGTGTGAAAAATGAGGAAAGAATATTGACAGTAGAGGTAGGATTGGATAAGATAGGGAAAAAAGTTGACACAGTAGATAAAAACTTGAGGGAAACTAATAAAAAATTGGAAGAATCGATTACACATTTGGAAATGGACAGGGCGGCGTTTTACTTAAGGTTTCAAAACGTGGTGGAAGATAAAGAAAAAGATTTGGGCACCATTATGGTAGAGTTGATAGCTGAGGCGCTACAAAGAGATAAGCAAGAAATATTGCCAGAAATAGATGAGGTGTACAGAATCCATACAAGCTATGCTTGAAGAAATAAATTACCACGTGAGATACATGTAAGAGTCACCAGAAAAAAAATCAGAGACTTAATATATAGGATTACAAGGGAAGATCCAATAATCTACAAAGGTATAGAAATCCAAACACTTAAACAAATTCCAAGGAAAGTGAGGGAACAGAGAAGGGAGTACAGATTTCTCAGTGCATATCTTATCAAAAATAACATTCCATTTAGATGGTTAATTCCTGAGGGGATGCTGATAACATGGCAGGAGAGAAGGATCAAAATTGACAGTCTGGATAAGGCAAAATAATTTTATGAACAATTAGAAGGGGAAGAAGAAGAGAATAGCAGTAGGGAGGAATTAGAATTAGAATCCAAAAGTCAGGAAGATCAGCAACTAGAGTTAAAAGAGAGAGAGAAGGAAAAAGAAAGTAAGGAGGTAAGAAGACAAAGGAAAGAAAGATGAATAGGTTTGAGAGCAAGACAAACCCAGAAGTAAAATAATGGATGGGAAGATTAGATTAGTCTCAATTAATGTTAATGGCCTAAATGCACCTGTTAAAAGAAAACAAATATTAACTAAATTAGTTAAACAAGGCGTAGACATAGTATGTTTACAAGAAGTACATATAAAAAAACTACACAGAAAATATTTGGAATTTCCGAAACTAGGAGAATTATATACATCATTAATGGAACAAAAACAGAGAGGAATAGCAGTTTATATCAGAAAAGGAATTAGAGCCAACATAAAATATCAAGATACAGAGGGAAGGGTATTAATACTAGAGTTACAAATTGAACAGAATTGGTGACAATTTATGCTCCAAATGAAAACCAAAAAGAATTTTATAAAGATAATAATAATAATAATAATAATTTAATTTGTACCCCGCCCTTCTCCTCACCGGACTCAGGGCGGCTAACAGCCTTATAAAACCATAGTACAATAAATATCCATTAAAGATCTCTATGAAAAACTTATTGAAATTGGACAAAGAAATAGTTGTATAATAGGGGATTACAATGCAATAGTGGATGTAAAAATAGATTATATTAGCACTATGAAAAATAAAAAGAAGCGAAAAAGACTACCAAAAATATTTTTTGAGATGGCGCAGGAATTTAACCCATTTGATGTATAGAGAAAACAGAATCCCAGGAAAAAGGAATATACTTTTTTCTCAAATCCACACAAATCGTGGCCTAGATTGGACATGGTATGGATGAATGGGGAAATAGGGCAAGAAGTGGAGACAATAGAAATAATGCCAAACATATGGGCAGATCATAACCCCCCGAAAGTAGTGTGGACAAGTCAGAAAAAACCAAAGAGAAGGTGGACACTTAATACTCAAATTTTAAAGGAAAGAGAATTTATCGTAAGGATCAAAAAAGAGATGGAACTATTTTTCAAAGAGAAAACTAAACAAGTGTTCATCAACAATATTAAATCAAATAATATATTTGGATCAAAACATCATTACAAACTATATGGGACACTTCAAAAGCTTATCTCAGGGGTATAGCAATAGCATATACAGCTAGGAAAAATAAGGCAGACACAAAATACATTTTCGGAATTGGCAAAAGAACTGAAAATAACCAAACAATTTTTTTTCGAACATGCAAATAAACCAGGGCGGTGGCTTGCCTACAAATTAAAAAAAGAAAAGGAAAAAAGATTTATTCAGGAACTGCAGGACAAAAATGGAGAGGTGCAATATAAAATAGAAGAAAAGAAAAAAATAATTCAGAAATATTTTGAGTCCCTATATAAAAAAGAGGAAACAGAGGAGGAGAATATAAAACAATATTTAAAGGCCAATGGTCTTTCAGAATTGAAAGAAGAACAAAGAGAATTATTGAATAAAAAAAATAACAGCAATGGAATTAAGAGTGGCAGTACAAAAGCAAAAAAATAATAAAGCTCTGGGGCCAGATGGTTTACCTGGGGAAGTATATAAGACCTTATATGAAGATTTGGAAATGACACTACTAGAGGTATATAATGATGTATTGGAGAAAGCTAAATTACCAGACTCATGGACAGAAGCCAACGTAACCCTCATTCCAAAAGAAAATACAGATCCTAAACAAATAAAAAATTATAGGCCAATCTCGTTGTTGAATTCGGATTATAAAATTTTTACTACAATAATGGTGGAATGACTAAAAACAATATTAAATCAAATAATATATTTGGATCAAAACGGTTTTCTACCAAATAGACAAATTAGGAATAATACAAGAATTGTACTGAATGTTTTGGAATATTACGAAGCACATCCCGAAAAACAGGCTGCGTTAATATTTTTAGATGCCCAGAAGGCTTTTGATAATCTTAATTGGCAATTTATGTTCCAACAGCAAGAAAATATGAAATTCGGCAAGAAATTTGAACAAATGATAAAGTCAATATATAAGTCAATATATAAAACACAAAAGGCCAGAGTAATAATAAATGGGGAAAATACAGAGAAGATTGAAATTAACAAGGGTGTAAGAACAGGGATGTCCAATGTCACCTCTACTTTTTATTCTAACATTAGAAGTGCTACTAATTAAAATTAGAAATAACAAAGAGATAAGGGGATTAAGGATT